TCCCGCAACAGTGTCCTGTTAGAGTGACCCACAAGAGTGTCCTACAAGAGTGTCTCACAAGAGTGTCCCACAAGAGTGTCCGACAAGAGTGTCCCATAAGAGTGACCCACAAGAGTGTCCTATAAGAGTGTCCCAGAAAAGTGTCCTACAAGAGTGTCTCACAATATTGTCCCAGAGGAGTGTCCCACAATAGTGTCCCGTAAGAGTGTCCCACAAGAGTTTCCTACAAGAGTGACCCACAAGAGTGTCCCACGAGAGTGTCCTACAAGAGTGTCATTTGGACGTATGTAGCTTTTTGAAAGTGTTTGCATTCGGGTTCGTGGGTTGGTGGTATTTTTTTCTGCTTTTGCTTGTCACGTTGGGCTGGGATCCATGCCGCGCTCTGGGCAGTGGCTTTGATGCTGTGGTTGTGGTGTCCCCATCCGGTGTCGACGGAGCGGCGGAAACGGCGCAAACTCTACTTGAGTGGACTGCCATTAGGTCTGAAATGTTGGAATTCGACCCCAAAATTTAACTCATACTGATATCGTGCAAATCCATGTTAAGATGTTAAATCCCATAGTTCTTAAATTGGGTGCAGCAATTGCAAGTTGGACTCATACTGATATCGTTGCTGTCGTTGCCGTGATGGTTGCGCCGGTCCTTCATGCGGCGGCTTGGGTTCTAGGATGGTCTGGGGTCACCAGGCGAGCACTCTTCCAAGCGAAAGGCGAGGAAATTCTTTGGTCGGACACAAAGTATCGGTGAGGGGAGGTCTTCAGGCAGTGGGCGATGCGCTTCTTGCGCATCAGGCAGTGGAGGTTCCAACAACTTCTCCTCAACTTGTGGGAGAAGCTGTTATTTCCAATTGTTCTTGGCGGGGTCGTTCCACAGTTACAAGGTTCCACTAGACTAGACATGGAAGTTGCAGATGCTCCAGAACGATTTGTTCACAAAGGCAACAGACGGTGTCAGCTGACGGAACATTGAATGTTTCTACCTTGCAGATCTGCAGAAGGACGAAGCCATGGTGGTCTTAGAGTGATTGGAAGACACAAGCACTCGTAGAGCAGAGGCCTCATGAATCTTTGATCATCTTTCTATATCGAAACATTGGTGCTTTGAGTTCAGGTTCTTTGCAGCTTTCGCCGTGAAACGAACAGAGATGCTCGTGAAACCTGACTGTCCTCTGACCTGAGATGAGACAGCGGGCGCAAGAGAAAAGAGATGCGACGACCGCTCATGTATCATTTGACGAAATGCAACAAGTAGGTTGACATGCTGCTTGACACTCACTGAATTGTATCGATCGTATTTGCTTTGCCAACTGTGCAACCACTTGCGGAAATCAGCCATGGGGCTCTAGAAGACCTTAATCTACGCTAATCTGAGTTACGTATTGTAGATCCCGGACATGGTGCGGCCTGGGCTTCTCCTGGGCGATGTGTCCTTGAATCATCCTGAGTCACAGGCATTCTCAGCATCCAATCCGCGGGAGACGCTGAACCAATCCAGTGAGAAGCTGCTTCAAGGGCTGTTGCTGGTGGCTGTAGTGGGCCTTGGACTCCGTGCACTTCTAGCAGCAGTGCTGGCTGCATGGCTTTGCATTGTTTGGAAAGAAACACTCGAAGCATTTGCTTCTGAGGTCGAAACATGTTTGTTTAGGAGGGGGTTGTATGGTTGTATTGTCACCAAGCTGCAGAAACTGAGTTTGTGCGTTGTTAGCCTGACCTCTCCTCAATATTCATGGCTGAAGCTAAAAAGGCAGGTCAATGCCCCGGCTTTCTCCATGGCTTTCTATCCATGCAGTTCATGCGTCAAGTGGTGTCAACCTAATTTTCCTTTTCTAGCGGACGCCAAGCCCCCTCTGAGGCTTGCCAACATCGTTCTACCAGTCAGGTCGAAGGCAAGGGCCTTGAAGTGGTGCCACTGCTCTTCTTCGGCAAGGTCATCATCAATGTGACTTTGAAGGTCCTTGCGACGACCAGCCATGGCATCCTAGCTGCGGAACGGATGCATGTTTTCACTTCGACTGATGACTGGTGGATCTCAAACATCCCCACGAACGGCAGGTCCAGGTGGGCCGGTCCATATAGTGGATTTCCAGATGACCCTCGAACGTCTAGCTTTGGGACAGACCTCGGCGTGTAGGCAACGGACCTTAGAAGGCTCTTTTCTCATTCTCGGGGCACACTTCACGCGGACCGGTGTCCGCACTACCACTGTGTGGAAACCACGGGTTCAGAGTCATGGAAAAGGCTCTTTGAACGACAGGATAGACCACCTAGATGAAATTCTGCTTGTTGATACGATACTACAACAGTTTTGAAGAAACGCTTTCCAAGGACTGCTGGCAGTGAAGTGGATCTTGGCAGGGGAGCCAGCTGGATTTGCCTTGGTGGCCAGCTTCGTCCTAGTGGCGGTGAACACGCAGATTTTGGTGCCCAGATTTTGAAGATCAGGGTGCGGATGGAGACCGCTGATGTGATCAGGGTCAAGTGCATGGGATTTCTTTAAAACAAAGCGAATATGCCTATTTGCAATCTCAAAGGTCATGTTTGTAGGGCGCATGTAAGATTTGACAATCCCGTTGGTGTGGGTTGGGCCAGACGCGACTATAGAAGCAACACATTTTGGAATTTTTGAGATGTGACCAGCTTTGTTTGGTGGGTGTTTGTTTATCTCTTTTTCCGCAGATATGCGCCATCTTCTCTTTCAGCGTTATAGTTTTTGCAACTTCTTTGGGTACGGCTCACAATTTGGGGCCGCAGCACCGAAGACTTTTGTGCAGACAATCTCCAGCAGCGCAAGGGGATGGAAGTTTCTATAGAAAGTGTGGAGCACGAAAAGACTAACGCAAACAGCTCAGGTGTTTCTTATGTATCTTTCAATATGAATGGACGGTTGGGTAGGGACATATTGCGAAGATGTGAAACATAAAGTTGTGATCCTCTCGACCTTGATGCCACTGTGGCTCAAGTTGGGAGGATATGTTTTTCCTTTTCGCCATGCCGTTGTGCGGGCGAAGGGAGAACAGTGGCTGCTTGGCGGGGCCTCTTGTTTGAGACAAGGGCCCTGCTCCAGCCATGAGGCCACAGCGGGACCAGCGCAAGCGAGCACGGCCCGCCCCACAGGGTTTAGAACCCAAGGCGAGGGTTAGTGGATCCAAGCGACCGAGGACTCCATCGCCGGGGCCTTCATGGTTAGCATCCTCGACATCCCAGCCGATCAGGTCCGGGCCTACACCTTCGACATGCTCCGGCGCCATGAGACCAGATCAGGCTATGGCAGACGATCTTCAAGACCTTCTGGTCGACAGGCCGCGGATTCTGATGAATCACTTCGTCGATCGGGTGGCCCAGACCTGTGAAGATGTCCCGGGACTCTGGACTGCAGGTGGTGACTTGGTGGAAGAACTGGAAGGGCGCCATGGTCCACTGTCGGCCGAGGTGGGCTCCACGATTGTGTCATTCTGGACCCGAACCTCGCAACGCGCCCAGTCCGCCCACAAGCACCACCTAGATGAGATTTGCCTCCGTCGCCACTCGTCTGCGGCTACGGCCATTCCTTCTTTGCCATCGAGGCCTACAGAGGAGGAAGTGGAAGCAACCAGGCCTGTGGGCGCTGCTTGCTTGAGACTGGTGAGGTTCGCGACCCACAAATCTTGACAAGCCTGGCTGCCACTGACCCGTATGTGAGAGTACAAGCCCTAAAGGCTGCAAAGACCATCAAAGACCCAGACGCTCTTCGAAATGCTGATGGAGGACTTCCTGAATATCCACGAGCTTGGTTTGGAACCAGCTCACCTTCAGGATGCAGCACGCCTGCAGCTTCTCAAAGAGGCGGTCATGCCAGCAGTTGACAAGCTGACCGTCGCTCGGCTGGGTGCACTCATCAGTACCATGAGGCGCTGGAAGACTATGCCCTTCGACTGGGGTTCGACTTGCGAAACCCGTCACCTCTGCAGCTGAACGCGTTCTTCAAGATCTTCAAGGACATCGCTCGCGGTGGGCCCAAAGCTGCCTCTGCCATGTATCACTCCTTGAACTGGTTTCGGTCTCAATATGGACCGGGATTCCACTTGGACCATTGGCTGGTGCAGCCGTTCAAGCTGCTTCCCGTGGGGCCAGATGGATCGATTCCACTAGCAACCTGTCTGATGGGTTGTCACGCTTGGGCACATTGCAGACATTTTCCAAGAAATCATTAAGCGCTCCATTTTTGTGGCTAGACCCGAGGATCTCCAGCCTTTCATCTCCTTATTCAACAGTGCGTGATGACATTTTGAAGACTGTGGGTGATCAGAGATGACTTACGAAGCTAGTCTGTGTGTTTTGAAACCACGACTGTTACCCAGTGTTTTTAACACTGCTGTTCACTATAGGAGCGTGCATTGGTCTGCGAACCTCCGCCCCAATCACAAGAGAGTCTTCGTCTGACTGCCGCGGAAAAGAAGATGCTTTCACTTCTACGCGCGGTGTCCCCCCTTTATGTTTCTTATTTTTCAATATGAAAAGAATGGTTGGGTAGGGACATATTGAGATGCGAAACATAAAGTGGTGATCTTCTCGACTTTGATACCATTGTGGCTCAAGTTGGGAAGATCTGTTTTTCCTTTTCCCACCCTCTACCGCCCTTGACACCCTCTGCGGGTACTATAGGGCTTGGGCTTGGGTTTCCTGTATCTACCCCCGAGGGTGATCAGGTAAGATCATCAAAGATGACTTGCAAAGCTAGTTTGTGTGTTTTGAAACCACGACTGTTACCCAGTGTTTTTAACACTGTTCAATATAGGAGCGTGCATTGGTCTGTGAACCTCCGCCCTAATCACAAGAGAGTCTTCGTCTGACTGCCACGGAAAAGAAGATGATTTCACTTCTACGTGGGGTGTCCGCCCTTTATGTTTCATGTGTGTATATTATTTCTTCACGCCGCACAATGTTTGCTTTACTGTGGGGTCATGTGCTTGCAGTCTTTGCCTTGATTGTCGGTGAAGATGGTTGAAGCACAACCTGCAATTTGTGTCCTTTTATCGGCGTCACATACAGTTTTTGGAAAAGAGGTGTATTATTTGAACACGATGCTGTGGATGTCACATGTTTTTTCAGCATCGCAATTCAATGGGGCCAGTGTTTTGAGAAGCAGAACTGCTAGAACCAGTTTCACCGAAATTTTGGGTTTGAGTTCTTTCTTGTTTATATACGTATTTGTTGTGTGCTTTTGCTTTGATGTGCATTGTTGAATTCTTCCACCACCAAGTCAAAATCCTGCGCGTAAATTTAAAAACTCTATTCTCAGCAGGGTTTTTCTATTTTCTATTGCCCCTAAGTAGGATGTGGCATCGCATCCGAACGTGCGGTCCGCGGGGCGTGAATCGGTCCACTCGAACGCTGGCCAGCTGGCCATCCATAGCCCATCTATCATGGGTGTTTCAAGGTATCGGGTTGTGCAAGTCGGATTTATGCCGTCGGGTGCTAATTTAAGACAAGCATGGATTGAGTTGGAGGGTCTTGGAAGAAAACACATGGCTCGTGACATCCCTTTTGAGGTGACAGTCGTGCAAGTGGGGCACCTTCGACATCTTCTGCTGAAGCTGGGCCTCACCAAGCAAGCACGTGTGAGCTTCGCTGGTGTTGGCAGCTTGTGGCAGGTGCCCGGCGGCAGGGCTTGTGTAGCTGTGAACGGGATAGCCACGCTGTGCCTGGTGGTGCATTTGCACCAACGCCCTTGGCAGTTATTGCCATGGCTTGCCACGGCTTGCGGAACCCTGGTCTGGGCCAACGCAAGCTTTCAAGGTGTTGGCGTTACGACGTGGAACGACTTGAAACCCATAGCCACAGATGATTCAGCAGTGATGGAGGCAGAGGAGTTCATGGAAAGCCTGGGAGTAGCAGAAAGTGCGCTGCCCGACACTGCGTGTGGCAAATGGCTTGCCTTGGTCGCAAAGATGTTCACCGTGGGCAAGGAAAACGCCATTATGTTGCAGAACCGGCAGGTCCTGATGCACCACGCTTTCCCTACTAACCCAACCTTTCGCTTCTTTCACGGTGTGGTGATGGTGCTCTTCAACCTTTGCTGCTTTGGCGTCCCGGCGGCGCTGGTGGCTGTTTCAATGATGCAGGTACCTGTGATCCATGATCTCCAGGTCTCTGGTGGGGCGCTTTACCCATCGCTCAGTCCCCAACAATCGCACTACTATGTTCGCCTGAACGATGGATGGACAGAGGGAATCAGCTTTACCTTCGAATTAGACGTGGGCAAAGCCTCGTCCTTCGAGTTCTGTTGCCCATTTTGCGTCGAACTCACCGGCAGCGAGCATGGAAATTCATTGATCCTGAAGTCTGAGATGCCCAAAGAGAATTTAGGAACTTGCCAACTGAACCTCTTTGGCCTTCGATTTCAACAGTACCAATTCACGGCTTTGGCCTTGCAAGGCCTTGAAATGGAGAGCCGCCTTGACACAGAGATCGGGCACTTTGAGCCACCCTTCCAAGCCGGATTGCAGACATACGAGTCTTCATTTGTTTCCAAATCATCAGCCTCTATCTCACTGCGGGTCGTGCTGGAATTGGACATGGAGAACACGAAGGTGGGCAGGCATAGTCTCCTAAACCGGGGAGCTCTCGAGGTGTGCCCGGAAGAGTTGGAAGCTACTAGCGCCGAAGATTCATCGTTATTGGGCGTAGGGAGAGAACGAGCGATTTTTTGTTTTCCCGAGCTTTGTTTTGCTGACCCAAACAAACCTCGTTGGCGCAAACCAAGCTAAATAGGTTCTTGCCTCATAGGGTTGTCCTGCCTTGACAGGTTGCCTACACAGCCCGCTGGTGCACCAATCGCGCTTGCAGCAACGAGCTGGTTGAGGGAGAGAAAGAAGCTGACATTACAAAGCCAGCGCAGGTGGGTACTGTGAACTCCCAAAGCATGTACAACTATTGTTTTATATTGTTTTGTTAGAAGGGACGTTTCAGCAAGTTCACCTTCCAATCTGAATGTGTCATCTTGGGGGCATTCATGCACTTGGTGTGCGCCCTAACCACTTGGCCACGGCAGATATTACGCCGTGTGTCAAATCAAAGGTGGCATTGTCAACGTGTTTGTTTTTTTCATTGGTTTTAACAGTACCAACCACAGATTTCACGGGAAGCCTGATTTTATTCGTATTTCCATTGGCTTTAGGATGTGGAAGCTCCTGGCCACTTCGTATCATGTCAGGAAACGTGGTGTTGACATCCCGGGAACTACTTTCAACCTGCATTGAAGACGTATTTCTGTTACATCTGATCAACAGCATGTGCGTCCTGTTGTCTCTCCTTCCTACCGCGGACCAACGGGTGTAGTGGGTTGACCTCACGCTCCTACCTGGAACTAAACCACTTGATGGTCAAGGACACATCGGCCCCGCTGAGTTTCACGCAACCCTTCACTTCTGCAGGGCGACCAGTGCTTGCAGCAACTCTTGTGGATTCAGTGGCAAAAGGCTTTGCCTCCACTGCCACTGTTCATATCTCCTTCGCGCTAAACTCGTCTCCTTAACCTATGGCTCAACAATGTTCAACATAAAACTTGGAGATACAAAACTGCGACATTCGAGGCCCCCCGCCCCACCCCACCCCACCCCACCCCACCCCACCCCACCCCACCCCGCAGGGGCTGGGACTGAAGCCGCCCGAAACCACACGGCGCGATATCAGCCGTGGGCCAACTACTTGCTATAGCCGACAATCCCGTGAGAACTTGACTTGTAAGACAAATTACTGGTTCAGGCCGCCAAAAATACTGAATTGTGTCGCCTTGAAACGTGACATGTTTTGGTTTCCATCCAAGTTTGCTCCGCCCACCCTTTGCTGTGAGTGAAGGTTGGGTGCTTCAACTTGACCTTGTGGATTACCTTGTCGCCAGCATCTTCAATGCCCAACGTGAGCTCGGTCTATGAGATTTCTGTGACCGTGATCGACCTGAAGATGAAACTGGATGAGAGACTTTGCTGTGATTTGCGTATGGTACTCGTATGTTTCAAAAGAAGCAACTATTGGGCAGTTGATGATGATCCCACATCCAACTTGTATCTCATTATTGAAGATAGCGTTCACTGCAGTTTCTTGTCTAAACGCGTGCATCGTAGGTTTTTGCAGGTTTTATTGATACCCAGTCGTGTGACTTCCTGTCCTTGCACGCCAGAGATTAAAAATAGTTTGTGTCCACATATGTGTATATACAGTATATATATATATTTATATTGTGTATATGTCTTGTAATGTCTTGTATATTACTATACACATATATAGATATATAGTATGATTATGAAAGCCACTTCCAAAAAACTCAACTGCAATGTCCCAAGTTGCCACAGCGGCACGGAGCCCATCAACAAAAGCGCTGGCCCGATCAACAGCTGCGGCGCGGGGCCCATCAACAGCAGGAACTGGCCGTGGCACTGTGCCCTTCAGCTGCTGTTCCCATCATTAGGCCCAGCAGCCGCTGCCTTTGGAACAGGAACTGCTCTTGCTGGGCTTGGCGCAGCATGCGAAAGGATTGATGCATTATTCACTGGTGGTCTTCCTCAGGCTTTTCTTGTGGGTGCAAGGCCAACCATCATCCAGTCATCTGTCCAGCCCGCTTCAGTAGCAAGTGCATTGATCACCAAATCTTCCATCTTACGCAATCTTCCCCGGAAGTGCTCCAGGAAAATGAGGCCATTTCGTATGACTGCGGGTCTGGTGACCATGTGAAAAGCCACAATCATACATTCACGGAGTAGTTTGTACCTTCCTTCAGTTCTCAACTCCACAAGCCTTGCGTTTGGCTTTTGATTGGTCATCACCCACACCAGCTGCAACAATGATTTCTTGCTCAGACTGGCCGTGGTTGTTGGCAAGAACTGCGGTGCTCCAGCAGGATGGAGATCTGCGCCTCGAAACAAACTCAATTCGTATGGTCACATGTTGAAACAATGTGTTTTATAATCTAATGAACCAAAGCAAAAAACAAGACAAAAGTCACAAGTCATAAACTGACGACAGATCACTCTGGGCACACCCCTCAAAAAGGTAATGTTCCTCGGGATGTAGGTGCTTTGAACGTTGCCGCCTTGATTCAAGGCAGCGTCTGCCGAATCTTCCGATCTCGTCGAATGGCGGCGACGACGACGTCGATCTTTCCGATCGAGATCGTCGATTGTCATCATCACGATTTGAACCTGAAGCTCTGTTTCTCCTGCCACCACAACGGAGGAGGAGGTGGTGTAAATGGTTGACATGCTCATGCCATTGACGTCATGAGTGTTCATGACATGATTTGTAACTTTTGGCTCAGGTCTGTCAGGCTCAGGACATCGCATGCATTCCATGGAGATTCATTCACATATCGGACTGACTGACTCACTCACATATCGGACTGACTGACTCACTCACATATCGACCGACTGCTTACTTCACAGACTCCCCTTCCCAAAAACACACTGTCCACTTCGCGGTGCCTGACACGTGGCCTGACATGGAGGAGGTCTCTGGCAACGATGCGGCTGAGTCTGTGATGTGGTCTCGTGAAGATTGGCCAGAAGGACTCATCATTTCCTATGGGACTGATGCCACCTACAAGACGGCAGTGTATGGAGACAGTGGCCTGCTGTCATCCTTTCAACTCTGTTTTTGGTGGGCCAGACCAGGTCGGTGAAGATGTGCAGCTTCTTAATTAATTGCCTCACTGAAACGCTCCATTGAGGTTCTCGCGGGACTGATGGTGATGCCACAATGGATTGCGCAAGAAGCGGCTGACTGCAGGGCAGTCATTCTCACACACGACATGGAGGCGACTTGGCCTGACAGCGACAGTGTGGCATCATTTCTCCAGAATCCCAAGGAGGACGGCGCCTATGGTTCCTTGACTTAACGTGTTTAGCAATTTTTAGCTTCTGCTTCTTGATTCGTCAGCGCTCAGACTTACTCCTTCATCCCCAGCAGAAAACAGGTCTGCCACAGTAATGTTTGCTGCCGGAGTCGGAGCGGGACACGACCCTGCTGATGCAACAGCATCACCGCCTGCTGATGTTGTGGATTCACATTCACATACCCCGCAGACCTGACCTGCCTGACATGCCCTGGGACAGGCAGAGCAGCAGCATTGGCACAGTGCCCTCCAGCAGCGTCGGCGCTGTGCCCTCCAGCAATAGCACCACTATGACTATGACTATGTCGCCTTGAATGCCGAGCCATGAGATGAGTGCAGCGATTTCACTCAATTTCAATCACAAGAGTGGGCACTGCACCTTCCAAGCCAGAAACGCTGCATTCAGTCATCGCACTGTGGAACTAACTAACTTCACAGCAGAAAGCGCAAACAGACTCGTTGGTGACTTGCTACTTACTTCAGGCTGATGCCGGCTGTCAACTGGGATCTTCACCAGTTGCCACAGACCAATCCTCAACCTCAGAAGAAATGGCAGTGAATGCTTCGCACACCAATCTGGCAACTGACTCAGTCAGCGTACGATCTGGATTGATTCAAATCAATGACACATTTGTTTCTCAAGTCAAGACTTCTGCAAGTGGTGATACAGGACATGACAACACATCTGTCTGCAGACTCACTCAGCCATTAACCAATTATGAACAAACATTTTCGTCAAATAAATACTGAAGAATCACATTCTAAATAGCTTCGCAATTTGTTCTGTAGACAGGTCACACACCTTCAAAAGCCAGTCTTCTGCTGTCATGTCTAAGAACTCTAACTTCAGGCCACAGTCACAGTGACCTTCAGCAAGTCACAGTGACCTGCAGCAATACAGTCACAGTGACCTTCAGCAATACCACAAGTCACAGACAGTGACCTTACCACCCCTTCCCACGCCAGCTTAACCCCAATCATCGTGCCATTCATTGTCGTGCCACTCATTGTCACGCCACTGATTCCACTGTCCATGGTCTTGCCTTCCTCTTTTTTGGTCAGTCCCGGGACGATTCTGGGCAGCAACATAACTGGGGAAATCCTCAAGGCCCAATAACTCCTGAGGTCTTCCAACAGCAAGCATAGCTCGGGGTTTTCTTCAAATCCTCAAACCAGCACCACGATCCGTATTTGCACTGCTTAGCCGCACTGCATTGGCCATAGGCATCTTCAAACAACCAGTTGATTTGCAGCATCTGTTTGCTAGTGAACTCAAACTCAATTTCATGTTCCTCTGCCTCAATGCCCTGGATGCCAGCATCCTCTTGCAGCTTGGCAAGAATCCAGTCTTGTTGCTGAGGCCAGTTCTCCAGGATGAATCTTGAAATCTCATCAATCAAACCCGCCTGACCATATTCACCTACAAATTTGAACACATCCTCTCTCAGTTCAATCTGTACCCAGATTTGTCTACTTCCTTGCAAATATGTGCGTCCACTTTTCCAGAATACGTGTGAAGACTTGAAGAAGAGAGTTGTGACTGTACGATTGTTTCAACTTCTGCACAACCTCTTCCACACTGCTACCGTAGTCAGTCTGCAGCTCTTGACATTGAACTTCCTGAGGAGGTGGCAGAACTTTGGAAATTTGCTTCTTCTTTTCCAGAAATCAGTGTCATGCACTGACTCGCGATGCAAAGGCTTGCCAATGCTTTTTGGAAATAAAGCCCTCGTTTGTAAGTTTCCCCACAACTTTCAGCGTTGCCTGGAAGAAGCTCTTCATGACTCCCACAATCATCAGAAAACTGAGCCTACGCAGTGTCGGACGGTGTCTTGGGTCCCGATTGCTTTCTTTGATCGGCTGAGCATACAGTCGCAGTGG